CGGGGTTCTTCTGAGACCTCTCTGCTTGGTTTGCAGGTGGCTGCCTTCTTTCCGCCCTCATATGGCCTTTTCTCTGCATGTGTGGGGAGAAACCTCTGGTGTCTCTTCCTCGTCTAATATGAACACCAGTCCAATTGGATTAGGACTCCACCTTTTGGCCTCATTTAACCTTAATTACTTCCTTAAAGTCCCCATCTCCAAATATTGTCATATTGAGGGTTAGGGGTTCAACATATGAATTTGGGGACAGTTGGGGGTCAGGAGACCAGAGTTCTCCATGGAAACAAATGGTGGTGTGGCTTGTCATAGTAGTTCCTAAAGTATCTTGTAGACCATAAGTATTTTTTTTTCTTCCTTTCTTTCTCTACTTTTTTTTTTTTTTTTAATATAACAGGAAATCATTGAGTGGTTTTGAGCAATCAGTCAGATCTGACTCCACCCAGGCTACTATTTTGAGCATACTGGGAAGTGAAGGCTAGAGTAGAGACATAGAATGTAATTTTGATAATCCAGGCAAAAGATGTCTTGGGCTAAGGTGGGAGTCATGGAGGCAGTAAAAAGTTCAGATTCTAGATTTATTTTGAAAGAAAAACAGAACTTGCTGTTAGATTGGATATGCAATCTGAGGAGACAAGAAGAGCCAAAGGATTCCTGAACAAGTTTTGCCCAAGCAAAGAAGATTTATGGGAAAGAGCAGGTTTGAGAGAGACGATCAATTTAGATTTGGCTGTGTAGATATCATAGTGGCATCATACTGCACATTGTGTTGTATTTTTTATTTTCAGATACAGCACTGTATATTCAATATCCTCCCATTCAGTTCTAGGCACCATCCCATTTTGCTGCATATAAATATACTTTATTCCTTTGAGCCATACCTTTAATGTATTCAAAAAAACACCTGTGCCAGGCACTGTTCTATGCCCTTTACAGATAATAACTCACTTAATTCTAGTATTGGCTCTGATATACTGTCATTATTCCTCAATTACAAATAAGGAAGCTGAAGTCCAGAGAGATTAATATACCAGAGATAACATAAATTGGAAGTAGCAAAGCCACTGCATTGTTGTCCATTATATGAGTGTCACAATTCACTTCATCAACCACCTGATGCTAAATTTGTGGGTGGTTACTATAAGACATATTGCATAGAACATGCATTTTCACTTCTTTGGGCACTGATATGTTTCTGTAGGATAAATAAGAATAATAATACTGGGTCAAAGGATACACACATCGCTTATTTTGATGTCACTAATATGACTGTCAAAACAGTAACTCTAATTTATCCTCCCATAATGCCCATCTTTTTTCCTTCTCCTCTTGTAATTCCCCAATCTGGTAACCTTTTTGTTCATTTTCCTGTAAAATTTATGGTCCTGAATAGTCTGTTTAAATCCTTTGCCATATGTTGAACTCATAGCAGTTGCTGGAGAACATAAAGAATAATGAGTATTGAAGCCAAGAAAGTGCCTATGCGAGTAGGTACAAACAGTGTTTGGACTGGGTGAGTGGGGCTGCACCAGGCCACCAACTCCTTTGGAAGGCAGCCACTGTCCTGACCTCCAACACTTTAGATTAGCTTTAGATTAATTCTGTGCATCTTTTGAACTTCGTATGTTTCTGCTTCTCTCCCTCAGTATTCTTTGTATGAGATTTGTCCATGAAGTGTGTAAAGCAATAATTTATTCATTCTCATTGTTAGTGCCATACCAGTATGTTGAATATTCT